CCGGGTACTGCCAGTCTGTCAGCTTCACTTAAGGACCTTCCGCGCATGCGTTGCCACTCACCGATCATTACATTCCCACACTGCGCCTGCGTCCCTTTCTCACGGCCGTTAACTTCTCCAACTACACACAGCTCCTGTCCAGTTCAACTACCATGCACTGCGCTTAGTGCCCTTCTCGTCGAGTTTGCGAACTAAACACTGCGCTTGCGCTGTCCATTTCAACGACTAAAATAAATACACCAATAAATAAACTTATATGTGCACGGAAGGTCCTTATGTGTAGCTGACCTACTGGCAGTACCCGGATGCGACGTCAGAGGTTGGCGAGGTGGATGAGTTCTCAGCGTCGACAGGACACCGGTCTACTGTCCAGAGGACCTGAGAGCATTCGCAGGCCAGCTAAATTAGGACCCCACCTGGAGCTCCTCCCACCGGACCAGCGCCGACTCGCCGCTGCTCTCCCGCACAGCGCGACCTCACCAGCGAGGCAACTAACAGTGAGTGAGAGCCTGGGGTCCCTCATAAGAACGATTTATTGTATTAGCAGGGTAAAATAGTAAATTATTGTCTGCAGTGTGTACTCTATATGTACTGCATATAGACTACACACTGCAATAACATGTAATTGTAATACTACGGATCATTTAACCCATTCATGTTAGTCAAGGAAAATTGTAAATCTATTGCTGCAGTGTGTACTGTATATGTAGTACATGTATACAGCACACAACTCCACTACACTACAGCAATAGATTTACAATTCTCCCATGCTAACATGAATAGGTTAAATCATGATCCATAGTATATAACATGCAGTTGTATTATGGATCATTTAACCCATTCATGTTAGCAGGGCAGAATTGTAACTCTATTACTGCAGTGTACTGGAAATGTGTACCAGGTTAAATGATTCATAGTACACACTTCCAGTACACTGCAGTAAGTTACATTTCTCCCCTGCTAACATGAATAGGTTAAATGATCCTAGAGGCACATGCATGATCGGATTTGTATTTTCACGACAGCTGTGTAAAAGCAAATACAAATGTTTTATTGTTCTAAAACAGTCTTAAATTAAAGTTCTTCATAATCATTAAGAAATTGTCCTAAAATAATTAGTCTGCATTGTTTTAAAAAAAAAAGTCACCTGCCCCTTTAAGAAAAAGTATCGGTAATTGGTATCGGCAAGTACGTGAGGGGAGGTACTTGTACTTTGGTCTTGAAAAAGTGGTATCGGGACATCCCTAACCCAAAAGATAAAATTCTAAATATTAACTACTTACAAAGTCATCAATAACTCTGCCCCTGGCTATATCTCCAACCTTGTTCCAAAGTATCACCCTAACCGCCCCCTTCGCTCCTTCCTAAGACCTCCTGCTCTCTAGCTCCCGCGTCAACTCCTCCCATGGTCGCCTCCAAGATTTCTCTAGAATCTCTCTGATCCTCTGGAACTCCTCTCCCCAACCTGGCCATCTATCTCCTACTCTGTCTGCCTTTAGGCGATCCCCTCCCTTTTAGATTGTAAGCTCTCATGCAGGGCCCTCCTTACCATGTTGTATACTTGATTTGTAGTGTAACTGTAATGTTTTCCTTTATATTGTAAAGGGCAGTGCAAACTGTTGGCGCTACATCCTGTATAATAATAATAATTGCACCCACAATCCACTGATCTAAGTTGCAATGCTTTGCAGAGTCCAATGTAAATAATTATGAAATTATGCAAATGTTTTAATTAATGCGTGTGCTTTTTATTTTTCCCCAAAAGGTGAAATATGCCTTTTCAGGTAGAACGTCACCCAAATGTAATTTTAGGGACGGGATTAAGGTCATGGCAGTCAACGCATTAAAACAAGATTGCAGCCTTGTTTAAAATTGCTAAGCGGCCTATCTGCTTCATTGTAGAAGTGTTCTGGGTGCCTGTAAAGCTGTATGATCACCTTTTGCAGACTTAGTGGCCATACATTGACCAAATTATGGCCCGTTCTTGAGGACATTGCCAAAATGCTCAGGTGTGAACAGGGGCCATTGAAATGAATGGCATTTCTTGTATTCAGTTTTGTCGCACTTAGCTTCAAAATGTCTAGGTGTGGACAAGGACTTGCTGACATAGTAGATCTGTAATGGAATCCCACACATTTCTCTCATGCAAGACATTTAAAGGCCGCCTTCATCTAACTGTTGGATTTGTTTTGCATATTGGCTTACATGTCACATTATACGTCGCTTTGAAGCCTAATGTGAAGGTCCAGTGCCCTGTTCATGGGCATATACATGTGTAGGTAGAGATCATCACGCATGATCAGCTATCTGCATCTGGTGCTACCATTTGGGTAGATTGGATTTTTTTTCTCATTTAGTATGCTGTTCATCCCTTTTAAAAAGGTAGACCTAGGTAGGGAACCTAGCATTCCTAAATTACTGCTGGATAATTAGTAATGGTGATGTCAGCGGGCATTCACCACATTGTGGATGTGCATGTCATTTTAAAAGAGAACTATGGCCAAACTTTTTTTTTTTTTTTTTGCCGTAGTTCTCTTTTGGGTCACAGGATGACCTTTACTAATGTACTTCTGTGACCCAAAACTCGGCATATAGCGGGCTACTGCCTACTATATGCTGACAGCACAATATTGTCAGGATCCACCCCACTGCTTGATTGACAGCTGGCTCTGCCTCTATAGAGCCAGAGCCAGCTGTGCCCACCCCCACCATCAGTACTGGAGGAACAGAGAGTGTAGAAGGGAATCTTTGCTGGGAGTGGTGAATGACAGACCCCGCTCTCTGCAGGGAGAAGCCATGAGCTGGGCAATTAGCGGTTTTGTTTCTTAAAGCATGTGCATGGAAGTGCCAAAATGTTTTATGTTTATTTTGTTTGAACTATCCCTTCTTTTCTCTTCAGGTGGAAGAACTTACAAGTGTTTATGAAGAAGTAGATGAAGCATCTTACTCAAAGATTGTCCGTGAACGTCAAGATGACGACTGGATAGTTGATGATGGTGAGTTCCCTTGTTAAAGCTAATGTTGAATAACTACTGCATGATGGGTTCCCAATATGATTTAGATATAGAGTTACCTTCAAAGTAAAGCTATGTTATGGAAAAGTTATTCAAGTTGAAGTACCTAGAGGTATTGTTTGTGTTACACGATGATCTCTGCGGGAACCTATTGTCAGTTTGTAAAAGGCAGCTTTGAGTTCTGAACTTGACATTGGAAATTGGTATTTGCATATTGAGTACCCTGGGTTCCGGCGTCCCAGGTCACTCAGAAAGGTAGACTTGCATAATTTTTCTCGGTGGCAGGTTCTCTTTAACCTGTTAACACCTGATGCCTCCGGGTGTAAGGAAAATGTCTTTTTTGTATGAACTGGTAGTATCCACTGGCCACAGTATAGTGCGAGTACCCACATTGTACCCTGTGATGAAACGGTCTGGCTAGACTTCCAGATTAGAGCTTTAATTGTGCAGCATGCCCATGTTTCAGGGCCAGGGGTTGTGCAGGTACAAGGTATGTATTTAGGAATGATTAAGCTGAGATACTAAATAAATACAAGGTTTAGTATTCTTAGTAAATAGTGTTCTGTAATATGCTGAAATGCAGATTTTTTTTTTTATTTGTGTATGCATTTATTGACAAAGTTACATGTAGTACACCTTTATGGAGGAAATAAACTCCCTTGATTTTCCCTTGAGCCCTACATTTTAACGGGCAACTGTGCACGGTGTACATCTTATAGATATCCGGAGCGTTTACTGCACTGTGCATGAGTTACTGTACAAAAAAAGATTGTTAGCAAGAAAGGAGGTGTGTTTTTTTTTTTCCTTTTGGCAGAAGAAAACAAAGCTCACCACACGTTATAATCTGCTTGTACGATTCAGTTTGATCCCCTGCAGATTTTGTAAGTTTGCCCACTTACAAAGAAATGAAAGGTCTATCATTTTTTATCATAGGTGTATTTTAGTTCAATCTGATTTTATTAAAGGTTTTAAATACAGTATAAAACGGTAAATAGACAATTTTACCAAAACAAAAAGGAATCAGTCACAAAAGAAGGAATGTGAAATCAAACCTGAGAACATCAGCAGGATGTATATCGGTGTGGGAGCTGTACCGCAGTACCAAAACAGACGGTAATAAAAGCAGCACCATGCAGAGCAGAGATCATCAGTATCAGCACAGACCCCATGGAGATCCGTGTCATCTCACCCCAGATTCACTTATCATGTGGCCTAAAAATATGGTAGGGGGAGTCCTGTATAAAGCAGACCTTTCGTGCTCCACGGGCTGTAGTTATTCACCTCCCTGGCGGGTCACCCGAGTGTAGCTTGGAGTTACTTTTCCATACCATAAGCGGTAACCCCGAGCTACACTCGGGAATGCGCATAGCATTTACTCACCTTTTCCCTCGAGCCGTGCTGTGTTCTCCGGCCGATGCCGGCATCCCTCTTCCGTCCCTTGTGAGCGTACGCGTCGCAGGGGGGCGGAACCGGCGGGATATTAAAAAAAAAAAAAAAAAATGCCAAAAACGAAATAAATGGGGGAAAAAAAATAGAATTAAAAAAATCATACCGCCAGGGAGGTTAACAATGGTATGACTAGCATCACTTGTAGCAAAAGTGTGCAGGAAAGGGATAAGGGTAGAGGGTGTAGGATGAGGAGTAAAGGAGGGAGAGATAGACCAGGTGAAGCAGAGAAGGGGCCAGGTAAGAGGACGCCAGGTGAAGCAGAGAAGGGGCCAGGTAAGAGGACGCATGTCGCCTTTCCCCTGCCAGGCATCTCCGCAGTGTCCGCAGGCGTGCATTTCAAGGGTAGAGTGCCGCCAGGAAACAGTCTGAGTTTCTGAAAACGGTCCATATGAACCAGGTGGAAACAAATTTGTCCCCAGCTGCATGTTCCCCTGCCAAGAGGTCTTCCTGATCTGCAATACGATCCATCTCTACTACCCACTCAGCAAGGGTGGGGACCACTGGAGTACACCAGTTGCACGGAATAACATACCTGCACGCTGTGAGGAAGTGTCGCTGCAGACCCTTTGCCGACTTAAGTGAACCAGGGATCATTGACAGCAGCAAAATCTTGTGGCCGTTTGCAATTTCAGTAGCCGTCACTCTGAGGTAGATCCTCAGCACTCCCCGCCAGAACCCCTGAATCCGGGAACAACTCCACCAAATATGAGTCATGTGGCCTGGGGAGGCGTCACATCGCCAGCAGGAGTCAGACACTGTAGGGTAGTAATGATGGAGGGCCACAGGAAATCTATACCATCTGGTGAGTATTTTAACATTTTTCTCATGTGCCTGACTAGCAATGGAGAGATAATGAGTGAGGATAAACGGCTTCTCCCAGTCAGCAGGCACAATGGAGGTGTCTAGTTCTCGCTCCCAGGCAGAGGTATAGGTAGGCAACTCAGGGGAGGCTGAGAGGGAGAGGATGGAGTAGATAAGAGAGACAGCGTGTGGTGGAGGCGTAGAGGCCAGAAGGAGGGAGTCTCCTCTAATCTGACCCACTGCCTTGTGGAACCGGTCAACTATGCGGATCAGAACTGCAGAGGCATGATAAAGAAAAATATCCGGGCACTCCCCCCCCGCCCCCCCCC